CTAGATGTATTTGCCCTGGACTGCAGCCCAATTCCAGTGTAGGAATTTAAAATGTTGTTTATGGCTAATTGAATTTTAATTATTTAAGTGTCCTAACAATCCCATAGATTGGATATGGGAGGTGGTGTTGCTAATAATTATTAAAAAATTTCCCCCTTAATTTCTTAGAGCTAATTGCTATGTTGCAACTCTTACCAATTCGATGGCTAATATTTTACATTGAAAACAAATAGTCCAAAAATGGGGTTCTGTATTACTTTTTCCTTAACTCTTCTTTTGATTTTTGAAAAGAAACTAAAACTCTGGTAGAGTTAATGACTGTTTTACCCACTCCAGTTATTCAAATGATGCATTTCTATTATATCCTGTATAGAAAACGAATCAGTATAAAACACAGAAAAGTCAGCACATTTTGGTTTCCGTATTTACTCAATTTCTAAAACATTAGGATGAAGTTCAATTAAAAATGACATCATGCTGGATATAATTATATTTTTAGAAGAAACTTCTTTCTCAGAGCTTAGTTGAACATTGATTGATCTTATCTGTCACCTGAGCAGCTGCACTGGGGAATTCTTTAATTTACTGAAAAGAGTTTTGATTAATAAAATGCATTTACTATTTAAAATTTAAGAATCTCTTCACAGTGCCTAAATTTCAGATTTCAAATTTCGACGTGGGGATATGACATTTGGGGAATAGAGATTTTATGTATTAATGAGTGGACTCATGTTGGGACATTAACTCTACAGGCACAATATGTACATCTTCTGTGGCTGATTTTCATGAAAAAAAAATGGTAGAAAGAATCAAGAAATACTGAATTCTTACAATAAACCAGGATACATTTATATCCTATTTAAGAAAAACCTAACCCAAACGGTAAGGTTGGCATTGCTATTTTTATCTATATCTGAGGAAACTGAAGTTTGAGGAGATTAAATCACTTCTCAAGGTCACTTAGGTAGGAAGGAAGGAGCTGGGGTTGCTGCCTAAGTCTGCTGTCGAAGTACATCGTACATACATAAGGAAACCTGAAGGCCAGGATTCTAGCCTCATCAAAGATGTATTTAATTTCCCCAGTAGAGCTTCTCATTTTTCAGGTGCGAACAGTATATTGTCTACTTATATTAAAAAGATCTGTGAGGAAAAAAAAAAAGAGACAATTTGTAAAAAATTAATATTTCAAATCATAGAGGTATCTTTGCTTTGCTTCTATGTGTATTACTTATCACAAGTCCTTCCATGCAAATCCAATAACCCCACATAACTTTATGTGAAATTAACTGCACTTAGAATTCATGAAGCTGGTGGCTGGAGAGATGTTACATTTCACAGAGGATTTGTTTTGTTTTGTTTTATTTTTGTTTTTGTTCCCAGTTACTATAAAGTTGAGGAAGAACCTGGGAATACCAAGTGTTTTGATTTCCATTTCTTGTGTTGCCTGTCTAATATATATGTCTAATATAGACAAACAAGTTGTCTAATATATATGGATGCCAACAGCTTAATAATGAGTAGCTTAGAGTAGAGCATCTACAGTATATATAGCCACATTAGGAGTGATAGGTAAATTTAATTTTAAGGATTTTTTTTCATCTTCTTTGTGAGGTGACATTTTGTGTTGAGCATTTGTAAAGAGTAGCATCCTGGTTTATGTCTTAGAAACTATCTTTAGAGTAGAACCAAAATCTTATATAATCTTCCTCCTTTCCAGCAAGCAGAAGATGACATCATTATTCTTTCATTTTAAAGCCAGAGCTTATCACCTGAATGAGATCTAGTGCTTTTTGACCCTGAAGTTCGCTTGCCTCATTTTTCCTGACCATTACAATAGTTAATAGTCTATGTCTTCCCTAAATCTTATAACATCATTGTCATTTTAAGGTATCTGAAATATCCTTTAGCATGTATACAATCAGAATAGGACAGTATATCCTTTTGAACAGCCTGTAACAACAGCAGTAGACAACAAATGTGTATTTAGTCAATAAGTATAAATATACATAGTAATAAATGCCTGTACCATGTTCCTTTGTGTCCTTTTTTTCTTTTCCTCTTCCTTTTTGGTGTCCATGGTTTCAATTGCTTACAATGTGAGAATTCATCACACATTCTTTCTTTTCCTGAAGTGAGGGTAAGTTAGATCTGAACTCTTTGTACCAAATAAATGTTGACTAATGGTTAGAGTTATCAGGTAAAATACATGATACCCAATTAATTTTGAATTTCAGATAAACAACAAGTCATTTTTAGTATAAGTATGCTTCCTTCAAATATTGCATACTTATACTAAAAAATGATTTAATGTTTACTTGAAATTCAAAATTAATTTCGTGTCTTATATTTTCAGTTGCTAAGTCTGAGCCTATTATTAATAGTCTGACATTTCCCAATTCATGGGAAATATATGTATATATATATATATATAGATAGATAGATAGATAGATAGATAGATAGATAGATATAGATATATCTATATCTATCTATCTATCTATATATTTTAATGTTTTGAGCACATGTGCCTGACTCAGACAGCTATTATCCTCCTTTGCTGATTTCCCCTAAGATCGTCGCTGTTGCTTATTAATTGTTGCCCCTTTGGCTCATTCTGGGACAAAAATGGAGAAGATGAGATTATTTTCTCATTATCTGGAGGCCTGAACTTAGTTAATTATTTATGTTTTAAAAAATCATCAATAATTTTCTACATTAATACTTAGAATTCAAACCTCTATCAGTTTTTAATCCTCCTTAGAAATTAAAAGTTTGTTATCATTCTACTTTACTATGTATTCTGTGCTGAATTACTGTGTGCTATTCTGTGTTTGAAAATAAATATTGCTGTTCTTTAAATATACTTCTGTTATCTTGTTTGGGAAGTTTTCAAAATCATAAAATAGTAGAAATTAATATTTGCATGTTGCACATGAATACTATCCTTTTTGGAAGTAATATCTTATTTTTAAATGCTAAATGAGTCTCTCCTTGAATATGAATATTTATATCTTGGAATGTTGTTTCAAATGCCACCCCCACCACAATCACAAATTAGTTCTCTATGAAACTGTTACTTTCTTTTCAAAGACTTATCTCTAAGACTTTTCCACTCACAGAAATAAATGTGTTATAACATGTTGAAAGAGCAAACTCCTTAAAGAAATAATTGTTCTAATATAATAGGCTTCCTACATAACAGTATATACCCTACAGAGCCTCTTTTGATAAAGAAAAAAAAATAAAAAACAGCTACTAAAACCCAGTACAAGGTCAACAAATGACAATAGCTTTAAATTTATAAGCTGAAGTCTCGAATATTAGGAATTTACTGCAGCAGAACCTCATAAATTTACCCTTAGAGCCATAATATAGATGAAACCATGTTATAATATGTGATAAAAACTCTTCTGCTATGATTCAATATCAAAGTCTACATTGCTGTTTTATGTAGAGGAGTCATCTGGTGATTTTAGTATGTTTCCTTATATAATGACTTATTTTCAAGGAATTTAAGTGTCAGCTCTTATTTCCTAGTGGCAATTTCTTCACTGCTTATTAAATCAATATATTTATAATGTTCTTCACAATAAGCAGAAGCAGCTTCATTTTGTAGTTTTACAATTTGTATTTTTCAGTTGCATTGTATTATTAAGCTAGTGCGGAAGTCATTGATGGACCAGGCATGACATTTTTTACACCAATATACTTGAAGAAGATAAAACCAAAATAAAATAAAGTTTATACATAAGGAAATACTCTAAAACATTTATGGGAAATTACAAAAGCAACAAAACAGATTTTGTTTTCATCATCTTATTTTAAAAAGGTGTTTTGCGGGCCGGCCGAGTGGC